CACAAGTCATTCTTTCCGAGCCATTAGCACGAGCCGGCCGCGCCCTCGCCCAATCGCAGCGTCACGCCTCCCAGCCCGGGGAGCCGGCCTCGCGGCCCGCCCGCGCCGCCGCCACTGCAGCGGCGCGGCCGCGCGCCCAATTGGAAAGTGCAGCGGGGACTGCCTGACTCCCCACGTTTTAGATTCTTACTAGTGGGCCTGGCAATGCTTCGCTATTGCAGTGAATTACACATCGCACGCTACTCGTCACGTGATTGTAAATCCCTTTTACGCTAGGTTCTGCAAAAAGTCTAATAGACGAAAGACTTTCTCGCAAGTTTGGTTTTGCTCTAGACCCTGGTTTGGACGCGGCTGTCAAATATTATATTGTTAAAATGTTCTCCCGTAAGCTTGGGCGTAGAGTTGAGTTTCTGTTGAGGGGCGCTTGAGACAATATAAACACATAAATCATTATCAACAACGTTCCCACATGTCCGATTTAATTCCAACCATTCTTTAAACACATTCAATACTAATAAGAAGAAAGTGATAAATTTCAAGAGAAATCGGTCGAGTAGGTTTTGCATCCATATGCGACAGACGTACACACATTCTTTTATATAAAGGAGAGAGGGAGATTACATGAAAAAAATTGAAGTTTTTCTAAAGAAAGATAGATGAAGCTGAATGTATAATTGAAGAGCGTAGAGCAGTAACAAGAAAAGTCACACCGGCCATAGCAAATCACCCGTTACTCGTATGGTAATACAAGTACCGGTACCTCTATTTTTTGTCGAAGCGTTTCTCACTTCGTAACTACCTCATGCTCTTCATAAATTTGAACAAGACTTACAAAACAAGAAACAAAAAGATATACAGGAACAAGATACGACACACTTTCACCAACATCGAAATATTAACATACACGAATAGCGGCAGCTTGTTCCTTGCCCCGAGCCTTTCAATTCAAGGAATCTGCTGAATTTTGCCTCGGAGACCGCTGTGAGGGCGCCATCCTCCATTCGAAGGGTTGCAGGTTGGAGTCCGACGTTGAGCAAGGATATTTATGTTGAGAATTGAGCGATTACTTTTTATCAATTTATGACAAGGTATCAGCCTCACCAGCAATACGTCAATGATACTCGTGTTGTTAATTTACCTTTCGCCTCCGATAAATAACTTTTATGCCTAGCAATAGCAGTGAAACAGGAGAAGTTGCTCCCGTAATCAAACACACATAGGACTCCGCCGTATACGATTGGAAAACATTACTAGGGTTCAGTGCAATGGAAATAATTTGGCGATCCACATGAGGTAAAAATGGAAATTTAAAAATTGTCAAAACATCCAAAATGTATGTAGATATAAAAGGGCAATACGTTATTACTTTGTGGTAATGTAAATCGGCATTAATTTAACCAATGTATCGATTTCTTACAAAAAGAAAATTATATTCCAGAGAATCTAGGTGAGGCAGTTCATATTAAGAAACAGTACATCATTGCATTGAACAATACGTACTAACTTGTTTATTGTAAGTTATAGCCTTTGGCTCCCCTTTCGAAGATTTTGCTTGAGACAAATAACTAAATGTATTTTTGAAGTATATATTTCGTGAAAGAGTGTCTGAATTTTTATCCTGATCGATTTGATGACATTAGTCTCATTATACAGAGGTACACAGTTTAATGTGAGAAAAAATATCCTTTGCGGTAATGTGTATTTGACAAAGTTGTATGAGCAGAACATTTGTTGAAAATAGTTTTCTAATCCTGCCCCGTTTCTCGCTTTCAAGATAATGTCAAAGAGAATTATCAGACTCCAATAATGAGTGGGCGATAGTGGAAAATATATTTAAATCCGTGAGAGTGAAAGAAATATTTCTTAAAGTAAAGTATGATTAATTTACCTAAAGCCTTGAAAACTATGAATGGTTTCTCTCATAAGATGCAGAGATGTGAATAATTTCTGGAAGACAAATACAGAATTTGAGAGTGATGGAAATATACGCGAGGTCATCCGTCAGAATATCGAGAAAAACAAAATTAAGAATTTAATTATTCGCGAAAGAATGACGGTAGGTAAGGGTTATTTAAAATTATATAACAGATTACCTTCGTACAACCACAAAAAGTACCAGAAAGAAGAACCCTGAAGGCAGTGTTGGAATGCGACAATGAAGGGAAAATACTTTTCTAACAGTTGGATATCATTAAGGAAAATATTGACATTAGACGGTTGGCGATGGGGTTCGTGTAAACAGAGATAAATTCTAGGAAAATAACTTAGTAGTGTTTTGCTGAGGAAATGCCCGAAATTGTTGGAAACTTCTAAATTCTGTATGAAACAAATCCTTATAGCACAACGACTACGAAGTGTTCACCGCGTTTCCATCAGCATCGCCCCGCTGCCACCGCGTCCCAAGCAACGAGCTCAGCACGAAGGCCGCAAAGGAAGCTGCGCGCGCAGGGCGAGGCGGTTCGCACACGGAGCTCAAGGGCTCCGAGGAGCGCCTGCGCTGCGCGGCCTCCCCCCCCCCCCGGTGCAGGTTGCGTTGTTCTCTCAAACGATTGAAGGAACACGTGCGCCATTGAGTACACGTACTTCAGTACTAATTACGCGAAAGAAGTAAGTCAAGAACGCCGCATTTGGAGTTTGGAGTAAAAAGCGTTTGAAATGTTGAGATGGTTAGTATCAAGAATGTTTTAAGTAAATCGCTCATGTCGAAGCCGATGTACTGCCGACGGCTTGGAAATACGCGAGCAAAGCTAGTCATGTTGTCGTGACAAATTTTTTTGCTAAGCTAACTTACCCTCACTACCTCAACACATCATTTGAATCGCCTACTCTTATACCATTCTACGCTCATTTCATTTATCAATTTGCTTGAGCGCTTTTGAAATATCACTCAGCCCGTTGCTCTGAAAATTAATGAATAAAGTGAGAATTCTTAGACACATTTCAAGAAAGCCCATATGACCGTACAGCCATTCCATTTCCAATTGCATATTTGAAAACTTTGGTTTTTGCGAACTCGCAATTACAGATATAAGTATATATTAATGTGGCAAGAAGTAGTAACCTTGGAATTTAGTATCTCAACACAAACTTGAAGTGTAACGAAATAAATGTAAAATAAATTGTCAACTACTCTTCTATCCTTCTGGAAAGAAAAGAGATATAGCAACAGTGGTAGACAGAAGACACCCAAAGCACGATGGACTGATCATTTCATCGCAACGGACCAAAATCAATAACTATTAATGTATTCGAGAGAAGAAATGATGAAGAATAAAATAATGCCTCCTCTCTAAATAGTCATATTTTCACATTGATAATGTTAAAATCAAAATTCACATTAGCATATTATGAAATTTTCAAAAGCGTATCAATTTACAAAATGCTCATGCCTTTCACTCTCAATGTCTCACTAATGGGAAATTATACGTCAGGCGCTACAAGGAAACGCAACGCTTCCTGCCATGGGAGTTTCGGCAGCCGGGAAAAGCGCTCTCTGCTTCGTCCCGGACGTTGCGGCTTGTTCGCACATTGGAGCAATGGAGCGCGAAAGCGGGCGGAAATATCCGATTGTCTGCGTAAGCGCCTTTTTGTTCGCAGGGGAAAGTGGGCGGGGTGTGGCGCCGCGACGGCGCGCTGCGCTCGCTGCCAAACGGGCGGAGACGGCAGAGTTGGGGTTATGGTCATTCCAACACGGGTGGAAAGTGTCTTTGGCGCAGATGGCAGAGTTGAGATTATGCTCGTCACCAAACGGGTGGAGAAGGCGGTCTTGGCGGAGGAGGCAGAGTTGAATGTATGGTCGTCACCAAACGGGTGGAGAAGGCGGTCTTGGCGGAGGAGGCAGAGTTGAATGTATGGTCGCCGCCAAACGAGTGGAAGATTGTTTTGGCGAAGACGGCAGAATTGAGGTTATGGTCGTCATCAAACAGGTGGAAGATGGTTTTGGAAAAAAGGAAGAGTTCCGGTTATGGTCACCCCCAAACGGATGGAAGGTGGCTTTGGCGAAGACGGCAGAGTTGAGTTTATAGCCATCACCAAACGAGTGGAAGGTTGCTTTGACGGAGACGGAAAAGTTGAGGTTATGGTCGACACTAAACAGGAGAAGACGGTGGCTTTGGCGGAGATATTATGGTTGAGGTTGTGGTCGTCACAAAACGGGCGGAAGATTGATAAAATAGTACACAATACATGTACATACGATATTTAATCATAAAATTTAAAAAATACTAACAATTGTTTCTGACACAACAATTATTCTCATCGAAATAAAGGTCACCCTATTGCTTCTCCTCCATCCGCGCCGTAATCTAATGTCAGTATCAGTTTTTGATCGCAATATATAGAGTTAGAACACAATACTAATATTAATGAAACAATAACATTATGGAACGAAAGTCGATTACAATGGTTAGGCTTGGCATAAAACTCTGTAGACAGGTTGGCAGGTACCTCCTCTTTCACTTTGCCTTCAAACAATTAATCAAAATTAATTCCACGATTACCTACGAATAACGGCAAAGTGTTTAACAGAATCATCGCCGGTCCGGTTGATTGATTGCGCTAAAACCTTTGCATCGCAGCCGGCCCCCGCCTTGGGCGCCGACGGACAAGGCCGCCCGGCGCCCGCGAGGGCCACTGGCGTCGCGTTTGGGACCCGCGAGTGTGGACATAGCTCGTGCGCACGGCCTCCGCGACCTCGCGTTCCGACGCGCACTCGCGGCGCCTGCAGCGACTCGGCCACGCGCGGCCTCGCTTTGCTCAATGGGTGGAAGGGCAAACAGAAGAGACGGGGCATTTGGAAAGTCCCTAATAATAGATTCTAATCTGGGAAGACAATGTTGTGGTTGCTGTTGTTATTTTTAAAGATTGGACTACTGTCGCAACTCAGTAAAACAGTGTAGTGCACAAAATATATAAGACAAAGCTGTGTTGGAATTATGTGAAAATTAATTCTTAGTAATGAGGGATTAATTTCGCAAAATGTGGAAGCCCTTGGCACTCACTTGGCGTAGGCCTTCTCGAAGAGGCCCGGCCAGAACTGGTCCGAGTTCTGCGCCTGCAGGAAGGCGAGGCGGCCGTGCACGGTGGGCAGGCGGTCGTCCACCAGCACCTCCACCCACCCGCCGCACCACCACAGCCGGAAGCGGAACACGCCGGCGTACTGGTCGGGGCTGCCGAACGTCTGGTCGGCCGGCACCACGCGGTAGAAGAGGCCCTTGCTCAGGTACAGCACGCCCAGGCACGACACCAGCCACCGGTCGCCTGCGGGCACGCCCCAACCACGCGTAAGCACACACACACACACATTTCTACAAGAAGGGACCCTTTTGACAGCTACTGCTTCACCGCTGCTGGCAGTGTAACTACTTGTTATTTGATTACACTCGTTTACGGTTAGCTCATTTGTAAATGGATTCAACACTATTTTTTGCAGTGCCATCGCCCTGCATGACGTTCATGTTTTCGTGACCTGTCAATGTGGTCCCTTCTTAGAGTTAGTCCTCTATAACAGAGGACCGTACTGGAAATTGGTAGAAGTAATAAAAGGACAGGAAACATTAAACGAAAAAATGACATAAAAGCTTAGAAAAGGGAATCGAAACAGGATATAAAGGGCATAAAATAAAGGAGGGACAAAAACATCGCAATAAAACAAATCAAGAAAATAATGTGAAAGGAGAAGGTATAAGAAAATCGGTGATGAAAACAATTAAAACGTGACAATAAATAGGACAAAGGATTCAGGATGAGGGCGAGACGAAGAGACAAAGGAACATGATCCACGTTTAGGAAAGTTGGTACAACACACACACGTTTATTTATGAACAAGAGCAATCACTGTATTGTTGCAGAAGTTTGTACCTTTCAATTTTAAAACACAAAATAAAAACACATCATTGCGATAATAGAGAAAAAATAAAACATGTACTCATGAGACACTATTTTATACACTTTTTTTAATAATGAGAATAAATCCCTTTTTATAAGTCCCTATTTCTGAGCCTTTAAAATCATGGACTCAACGTCTTATAATGAAGTATGAGAAAAATGTAAAGTTTTCTCTCCTTTTTCATAACTTGATCTTATTTTATCAAGAACGTGACCATAGCTCAAAAATCTATGACTTACAGCAATTTTCTTAATCATAAAATAAATATTACTTTTCGCTTTCGGAAATAAATATCGAATTCGTGATATCCATTCTCAGTTTCACGCATGAGTGTCAAGAACGATCTACTACACTCGCACGAACAATTACTGAAAGACGCAATGCGCGTTAGAATTCATTTTTTGCTTTGCATACGTTAAATATAGCTGATAACAAGTAACATCATTACTCATCATTCAACTGAAGTAAAATATTAATGAGCAAACATTAAAGGATTGTAGTGGTAAAACGCATTTGCGAAAGACAGATGGACATACTCCAAGGCATTGGAAAAAGACCCAGCTTCCTTTAATGTAGGAGTAAAAAGATTTTCTAGCTTTCACTCAAGGATGTTCACCCCGAGGGTGACTGTTAATGGCAAAAATGACTGCCTCTATGGCCGTCTTCAGAGCAGATTTCTCTGCGGAATCCGCGGAGCTGCAGGTTGACATGACGTCGCTCTCAGAGGACCAAACAGGGATTTGCTACCAACGGCCAAGAACTACTTTAAAGCTGTCTTCGTTATCTGCTGTGTCATCTCAGTGAGAAAATGAGAGACAATATGCGCATTTCTCTCCCTGCATTTCTATGCTGCCGCTAAGACCCAAAATTACAAGGAAGCCAGAGAACTATAAGTGTCTACGCAAAAGCGAAGGATATAGAAAGACAAGACACAAATGTCTTTTGAACCGTGGAAAATGCATATTAAAGATATTTTATTTTACGAGCAACTATTTAGAAAAGTTAAGATAATCTAAACTTTATATAAGTAAAACATGTTTATTTATGATTACATACGAGGTCTAGTTGTGCACTATTTTAAACACTGTCACATAATTATTTTTCAGTGAAGTTTTCTGCATGGAACCAACGGGGTGCACTATCCTTTGTGAGACACGCGAATTCTGTAATATTTTTATTGAAAATTATTCATTTTAGAAGGGTTTCTCACAGTGATCGGAAACCAAATTTAATAGCAAAAAATTGGATTTGAACGTATTGGTAAATATATGTGAAAGAACAACAACAAAATTGTGTTTATACAAAAAACCTAGAAATAAATTCAATGCTAACTTTAAAAAAGTAATGTTTCTACTTCTGCTCTAATATTCATTATCCCCCATATGCCATTCTAACATATTGATAAACAATTACTTTATACAATTAGAAAACTAGACTTCAATCTTTAAGACAAAATTTGATCAATATTCTCAACCCAGACACGCCGTCATAAATCGTTTGGAACGTCAATGAAGTTGAAAAACAACATTCAGACTAATTTGTGAATTTACGCAGAAGTTTTTGCCGGGAAGAAAGTTATTCCTGAGCTTGCGTGCACTCGCAAGGGCGCAGATACCATCTGCGACAAGCGTTGCGGTAGCGAACTGTTTACGCCCGAGCACAGGCAACACTTGGACGCCGAGGGAGGGCTTCCCGACGAGCGCGGAGCCCTTGGCCAGGGACCGCGGCGGAAGCGGAGGCAGGGCGCGCGCACGCCATTCCGTATGCAAATGCGGCGGGCGCGGGGCACGCCAAGGCCCGGCCACGCTCGGTTTCACTGGCTGACGCCGAGACCGCCCCGGCCCACGTCCGCCACCGCCGCGGCCGGCCCCGGCCGCCCGCACGCCCGCGCGCGCAGTGCTGCGCTCGCCCCCGGCCCTAGCGCCGCCGCAAATGCGACACTGCCGCCGCCTCGGCACCCAGTCTTTTTTTCTGAAGCTCTCACAACCGGTTCTTCTGGCCAGCCACTTTGCTCCCTCCTGCCTCGCTCGTCTGCCCGCTTCTCCGCAACACACCCTGCATCCCTACCTCCCCCCACTCTGCACTACCCTTCTGCCAGTGGTTCACCTCTCCGCCCCCTTCTTCTTCTCCTCTCACGCAACACCTCTACCGCCGACCCGCCGTCCATCATTGCCAGAGGGCTTGGAACTCCATCACCCTGCCGGCCCTGCCGAGTACACCCATCACCGCCCCCGTCCCCCGTTCCTAGCCGTCTCTTCTCTCCTGCCACCCACACGCCGCGCCATTTGATTCCGCCAACCGCCCTGTCACTGGCAACCTCTACACTCCCCACCCACATCGTCCCACCGACCCACGCCGTCACGCCCCGCCCCCGCGCGCTCATTCCCTTCTCTACCTCCGCCGCCGCTGCCGCTGCCGCCATTTACATAACCGGCGGCGGAAACTGCAACACAGCCGGGGGTAGGCGTGGGCTACTTGGCGAACCTAACAGCGGGTCGCTACAGGGGCAGGAGCAGTTGGTGATCGGGCGCGGAAGCAAACTCGGAGGCGCAGGGATGCACACATTGATTGGTTTAATTTTAAGAGGAGAAATCCCAACCGTGGCATTACTGTTGTAAAAGAATTATTCAATTGCTCTTAATTGCCCTGATAATTCTTTTTGTTTTTCTCCTTTCAAAATTCAGCAGTTCAGCAGCTATAGCGAAGACAGTGCAGGGATACTCTTTATAGAATTACAAGAAACCTGCTCAGGCGTTCCAAATAATTATTTAAAAGAAAATCATAGCGACGACGAAGAAACTTTGTCGTGAAAGTACATCTACTGCAGTTGAAGAAATATATTAATTGGTACGTTCTGGAATAGGTGGAGTCATAAACTTGAAATTAAAGAAGGCTTGGTACAACGCAGAGAATTATCACAGGACACCAAGTAAAATCAAAGTACCACGAATTTACAATTACGTAAATTTGCTGAGGTAGTCTGGCTTGTACACATGAGAGGATATTTTAAAAAAACACAACTAGAGACTAGGGATGATACTTATAATACATGCAAGATAGTACGTACTAGAAATTGCAAGTAAAAAGTATAATAAATGACAAGTATATATGTATAGTAAAAATAGAGATGACAGAAAAACTAAAATGAGAACACGATATACACAAAACATACAATCCATACAACTTTCGCGGGATTACTATGAATGCGCCTGAAATAGAAGTTGCGCGGAACAGGCACAAACAATCGCAAGAGGAGAGTCCGGCGTGGACGAGAAATGTTAGACAAAGCCGTGAGCTGGCATTCTCGCGGCCTGCCTCCGCCGACGGCAGCTGCGGTGGCTAGTGCAAACTGTGACTGGCGCGAGCGGTGCTGGTTCCGCACCACGGACTGTGGGACCACACGTTGACACACGCTGCCGTTAAGCGTCTTCACGGGTGTTGTTCATCGTGAGACCGGAAGGACTCAATGCTACTCTTTCATTGCCCGGTTCCACGCACGTACGAAAACTTCTTTTGTCTGCAACTCAAGACAAATACGCGAGCTTGTACTAATAACTCGGCAGCATTTCTTGATCTTTTCAGTTCAAGAACCACCTCGAAGATTTGCAGAATACTGAAGACCCCTACACTATTGCTTGATTGTTTTTGCGAATTACAAATGAGGTGCGTATTTTTAACATTCAAATATTAAATAAAATGGCGAAAATTTAACACTAAGGCCCTAAGGCGTTCGAATCTCGCCTCGGGCATGGTATACCCCTATCATCATCAGGGTTACCATAAAGTTCAATGCAATAGTGGTCGCTAATGACCTAGATGTTGATACGACCGTAAATAACAAAAAAAAACAAATTTAACACTAAGGAATTGAAAGCACCTATTTAGTCAACAACACATTCAAATGAATAAATATAAACTAATTCTTACTGATACTACCATAATAACTAGAAATTATGATGGAGCTAAGATGGCAACAACAAAGGCAACCAAAAAAACAACTGGTTCTTCTACTACAGCTGAATGCAGATGCTCAAGCACTTCAGACAAATCTTCTAGATGCAAGCAACTGCTCTAACGTTCAGAAATTGGCGAACTTCATAATTTCAAACACTTTCCCAATTTGCACGCTTCTTGGGAATGATATTTACGGAATTTTTGATACGAACAATATAAAAAACAAACAAATAAGCAAATCTCATTTCGTACAATCACGACATGTGCAATTACTTAAGTAGATAAGGTAAATTGATGGCCAAAATTGCAGGCTCAGACGTGGGTGAAAATCTTCCGCATGTGATGTAGACACGCAAACTCCAGTACAAGAAAACTGCCCCTACTGCAATATTCATCGCCGTAAAATTTGTTCTTTTTT